TGGAGAGCTGGGAATTATCAATTTGAGCAAAACTCCAGCTTTAATTTCAATTTCCGAGCCTCTGAATATTCTATTAACCTTTTCGATCTCATTTGTGGGTAAATCATTTTAAGTGTCTGGGGATTGATGGCTGCAGAGTGCCTGGACTTGGCTGGCAGGACTTGAGTTCTCATCCCTGTGTCATCTTAATTTTGTAACAGTTTGGTGCTCCTGAATCAAGGCAGGTGAAAAAAAAGGTTTGTTTGAGCTGTGCAATATTGAAATTTAGGTCTGTGCCCCTGCCCAGGAGTAGGAAATGAATGATGGAATTGATGAGTTAGGAGGGAAATGGAGCAAATTCTCTCAGTTAGGATGGGTTAGGCAGGTTTTTATTCCAGTTTYTGTTAGATGTGGTCACACAGTTTGAAAATCTTCACAAATGAGGATTAGCTGGGTTATAAACATGCAGAAGTTTGTACGCTGCATACTTTTTTTTTTTTTTATTTTAACATAATTCTCATTACTCAGAGGATTTTAGGTGATTATCGTAATGCAAATCACTCATGTTCTCACCATTAATTACAGCACTTRTATTCTTTTATTCTTTGGATTTTCAGAGGGGGAAAAAAGACCTGTTTGTGTAAAAATAAATAAATCTTTTGTTGCAGAGTAAATCTCTTAAACTGATTTCCTCTAAAAGTGGTAAAATACATGTGACTAATTAAATTAAAGTGGTTTTCATCTACTTTTAATCTCCACCATTCAGATTTATTTAGGAATTCYTTCATAAATGAGCCATGGAAGTGTATAACCAGTGAAATATGTTGATATTTTTCAGTCTGAAGCGCTGCCAGCTGCAGATTATATGGTGTAAGACTTAAGGCAGTAAAAGAAATCAAGGCAAATCCTTTCCTAGGGATTGAGATTGCAGGGATAAGGATAAATAACACTTCATATTATCGATTTGGAATTCTGTATTGACAAAAATTAAATCAAATTACAATATAATGTCATGCCAGTGTGTTTAACTTTTCCATAAAACAAAAGTAACTGAATGTCATTTAAGGTTCCTAAAATATCTGAATATCCAAGACATGAATGAATTTATKGAAGATAGATAAGTGGGTGCTAAAAAATTGGTGAAATTGGGTGCTAAAATGGAATTCTGGTTCAGGACTTTTTTAATGCTTTTGCTGTCACAAGTTTGCATCAAGGAGTTTTTCAGTGCAGGATTAAAGGGAGGAATTGGGTTTAGGAAGGCTTTTCCTCTTTTCTGCAGATTTTGCTGTAGAATCTCCTGGTTGTGGAATCATTTTCTGTCTCAATCCAGAATATTCTGTGGAATTACCCCTGAGACACCTCCCTGTTTTCATTAACTGAAATTCTGCTTGCTTTGGGAGATGGGGACCTGTAGAATTTGGAGTTGTCATGGAATGACATGGGATGTTTTGGGTTGGAAGGGACCTTAAATCCCATCCTGTGCCACCCCTTGTCATGTCAGGGACACCTTCCACTATCCCAGGGTGCTCAAAACCCCGTCCAGCCTGGCCTTGGAGACTTCCAGGGATCCAGGAGCAGCCACAGCTTCTCTGGGCACCCTGTGCCAGGGCCTCCCCACCCTCACAGATGAGAATTTCTCCCAAATATCCCCTCTAAATTGCCCCTCTTTTAGCTTAAAATCATTCCCTGTGTCCTGTCCCTCCATACCTTGTCCCCAGTCCCTCTCCAGCTCTCCTGGATCCCCTTTAGGAGCTCTGAACTCTCCCTGGATCCTTCTCCTCTCCCAGCCTGGCTCTAGGAAATGGTTCATTTTGTGCTGCAATCACAGATTTGATGATCTCGGTTCTGAAGGACTCTGTTCCATTTACCAAACTCTGCTGGTGTTGTCAGGAAATGTCATTTTCTCGCTTCCTCTTCCTTCCAGGTGGTTTTCTTTTGAGGTTTCTCAGTAGCTCAGTGTTCAGAGTTGCCCCTCAGCTCATGATGGGAAATAAGAGCAGTTTGTGGTTCAGGCTGCTTTGGCTGCACTGAGAGTGTGCAACAGATTAAAGAAGGGAATTGGGGGGAAAAAATGGCAATTTCTTGGTCCTCGCAAAATCCCACAGAGCTGGAGAACAGAATCGCCTCACTCAGGTTTTTCAAACCTCCATAATTGTCTTTGGATCTGAAAATAATCTGTATTTGTGTATGAATGCCCATTCCAGAGCCAGGKAGATTAATTTATTCCCAGACTCAACTGTTCTGCAGAGATTTTTATGTTGAAATTTTTCTTAATTCAAACAGTTTTTCCTGGCCGAGCCTTTCTGGGAAAGGCTCAAGTTATGTTTGAGAGCTGCTGTAGAGTGCTATTGACTGCTCTTGTAAAGAACCACCCTGGGGAAGTTTCTCTCAGGCAAAAAGAGCCTGAAAATGTTTATTTTAATACTTAATGGTTAGAATTTTAGAAATCTGKAGGTGGAAATTCCCATGTGAAAAACTTGAAGCCCTTCAAAACCRAAGAAGAGGTATCTTGTATTCATTTAGAGTACAAAATAGTATATTATTATTATTTAAAAAACATATAAAAATCATGATCTGTGGATTCAATGAATGGAGCCTYATCAGATGCTCAGCCAAGAATTAAGGAATTGCTCCCAGATTTKCCCAGTGAGGATTAACATCCGACAGAGCCGTGTCACTGCTCCAGCCACAATGGGAGCCTTTATCTCCTCTCCCATTTAATGTGCACTGCATTTCTTCTGCAGACAGAGCTGTGTTTGTGAGAACAGCCTGGCTGGGTCTGTGTGCCTSGGATGGGCTGGAAAATGTGGATTTCTGGCAGGTGGAAAAGGTCTGGGAATACAGCAGAATTTAAGGAGAGAGGCTGCTGAGCCTGGTGATGCTGCTGTGGTTAACTTTCCATTCAGGAAAACTGAAATTTCCTCTTTCACGCTCCTTTGGTGGGGTGTACTCCAAATTTAGTCTGAATTGTCAAGGAATATTGAATTTTCTGTGTAGTTTGCACGCACTATCTGAATTTTAAAACCACTCAGAACTTTGGTTTTTCTGATATTTTTAGGGATTAATTCCCACTAAATAACCATGCCCTTAGCACGCTCCAAGCTCTTTATTGAGGCTGATGGATCATGAACATGCCCAGCATTAGGAATTCAGCACAGAACAATTGACTCCTACCTGGAGCTGCTATTTTGGGAGGGCTGAATGGCAGAACTGGGTCCTGCACTAATTCTGTGCTTTGGTCAGAGCACACGACCTGAGCTGTGTTTGCTCCACACGGGCAGGAGAGGTTGGGATCCGTGGGAAACTGGGATGAGAAATTGTTCTGCAGAATTCTCATCCAGGAGAGCCAAGTGAGGGAAATCTCTTTGCTCCTGATTATCTGGTTTATTCCCTGCCATCAGATTTCTTGCTGTTCACCTTTCCTTGCCCATGCCAATGTGCCACCACCCACCCTTCTCCTGCCACAAGGGCTGACACTGCTGTGCAAACAGCATTTTTTTGTAAATCTGGTACAACAAAAAATCCAAAATTGTCTTTGGAACCTTTGGAGTGTTGCTTGCCCCRTGGGGAGATCATTACAAGGTGATTWTCCTTTTATTTTYRTGGCTTGTACCATCAGTGGTCTGAGGGATGAAAAATTCGGAGTAGTTTGGAGGTTCCAAGTGAAGTGTGGAGGTGTTTGCAATTCTCTTTGACATTCTCACCTGCCAGCAGCTGTGTGGGAATTCATTTTGGGCACATCCCTGGAGTGGAGGGCAGTGCAGAACCAGAAGTTTTTGTGACCTGACCCACTGGTTGTGCTCACAGAGCGTTGGGACCAGGCTGGAAACCACTGCCTGTGGCTGGGTCACCTCACCCAGCTCTGGTGACAGATCAAAGAGATCCCTTCTGTGCTCAGAARCTCTGAAATCCATGGTTTCATGTTTAATTTTCACCTTATTTTCCTTTACTGTCTCTTTCCATCTATTGTTTATTCTCCAATATATCCTTTTTTCCCCACCTTCCGGGTTAGAACAGATCTTTGAGCAGTGAAGCCTATTTTTTTTTAAATTCATCTACTTTTTTCAACCTTTTTTTGTGGTTGATTTATTAGCTTTGTAGAGCTAAATCTTTGTGGTCAGTACAAAACTCACAGGATATTTGCATTTGGCTAAGTCAGTCTATACATACATATATAAAAATACATATATACACACTTATACAAGCCCAGTGTGCACTGAAGGTCACTTCTCACTGCTCTGTGCTCTCAGGGGACCCAAATCTGTGTAAATCCCATGAAAACTTGGATTTGAGGCTTGTGGAATACTGGTAAAACACTKTATTTCTCACTGATTTTCCAGATATAGGAGGGGAAACTCAAAGCTGAGTTCCAATGGGTGTTATTATCCCATCTTCCTTGCAGGATGGGTATAAAAAGAGGAATTTTTGCTTCCTAAAGCCTCAGGACCCCGTCTGGGCAGCAATTAAGCACAGTTTGATGCAGAATAAGCAGCAGGATACGTTTTTCTTAGAGATTTTTTTATTTTGCCACGTGCACAGCAAATGCTGAGCCCCCACCTSCCTCATTTGGAGAAGCAAAACCAAAACAAGAACAGTAGCCAAAACCAGCCTTGAGTAAAACATTGATTTTAATTWAAAAAATAAAATAAATGCCACCATTTATGCTGATTGAGGTGCAATTTGGAATCCCCATCCTTGGAATTTTCCAGGTTGGATGGGGATAGTGGAAGGTGTCCCTGCCCATTGCAGGGGTGGAACTGTYGYATTTTAAGGTCMCTTCCAACCCAAACCATTCTGAAATTCTGGTTTTCTGTCCATCTCTCCAATATTCACACCCAACAGGAAAATCTGGTTTCATTAGCTCAGGTTTGCAGAGTAACACAACATTCACTACTCATTTCATGGGAAGAGGAGGGTGGTTTTTTTAGGATTTGGGGTTACCTTTTTAGGGAGAGAATTCCTTTTGCCGCTTTCCCGCTCTCAGTCTGTGACTTTCCACTTTTAAAAACCCCTCTTTTTTATGTTTTTTTGGTTTTTAGAAACGGAAAAGATCCCCGTAATGCGTGGACAGTGGTTCATTGATGGCACTTGGCAACCTCTGGAAGAGGAGGAGAGTAACTTGATAGAGCAGGAGCATCTCAACCGCTTCAAAGGCCAGCAGCTGCAGGAGAGCTTTGATATGGAAATATCCAAACCTGTTGATGGGAAGGAGGGTAAGATTGTTTAGATCACTAGAATGCTTTTTTTTTTATGTTTGGGGTCTGTTTTTGCTGAGTAAGAATATGATTTGTGTTGGTTTTTTTGTCCTGCAAAGTGGGGAGCATCACGCATTTTCCAGTGTAGGATTTTCTGCTGCAGCACGTTTGAGGAATGCTGTAATAAAAAAAAAAAAAATCTATTTACAGATAAACATCTTGTTCCCATTTTGTTTCATATCTTTTAATTGTGTTTGAAATCTTGTTTCATACTCAAATCTCTTGATGGGACAAGAGGAGTCAGTGTCCAAAAGCTGATAGCTTTGTGGCCAGCATCCCTAATTCTGCATCCCTAAAGGAAGGAGGATCAATTTTACAAATCACATTCCGTTTTCCATTTTTATTCAGTCTGAATTTATTTATGAGTTTTCAGCTGTAGTAAATCTTGGGCATTCATCCTGTTAGGGAAGTCCTTGCATTTTAATGAGCAGGCTGAGGATATTTGTTTGGTTTTGCTGGGGATTTTGCTCTAATGCATGGAACATTTTTTAAAGTAGATTTCTGAAATTGCTGCTCTATTATTTAATGCACAAAGCTGAACTGATTGCTCAGAGCAGGCATTKCACAGCAAAAATTCAGTATTTTTGCCTTTCACACTTTTGGGTGAACAACCTACAAACCATGAGCTGCAAGCACAGAGGTCCCTCAGTATATTTTAGATGGGATTTGGTGGTATTATTCATTATAAAGTTATATAATTTTATAAATGTCTTTATTTATTATTATTATTATTATTTATAAATTTATTTAGTAGGGATTTGGTTATTGTTCTATATTTTAAAAATATAAATTTATTATTAATATATATACATTTATTTACTAGGGATTTAGTTATTGTTCTTTATTTAAAAAGTTATAAATTCATTTATTATTATTATTTAGAAATTTATGTAGTAGGGACTTTCTTGTATTGTTCTTTATAAAAAATATGTAAATTTCTTGATTTATTATTATGATTTATAATTTTATTTAGTAGGAATTTGGTTGTATTGTTCTTTATGAAGAAATATAATTTTATAAATGTCTTTATTTATTATTATGATTTATAAATTTATTTAGTAGGAATTTAGTAGGAATTTATTTAGTAGTGMATTTTTTTACATTTCTTGATTTTCCAATTGCAGCTTTGAACAAAGCAATGACTCAGGGTAGAAATGTCTGTGTTTTGGCCATGAGTTCTCAGGTGTGAGCTGCACAAACACCCAAGTAAAAACCTTGGTAATAAATTGGATGCACAGCAATCCTCAGGGTGATTCTGTAATTACTGCAAGGAAAACCAATGTCATTTGTTAATTTAGGGAGTTTTTCAGCATTACAGAGAGTTTTTAACTCCCCTTTAAAATTAGCGAGGACTTTATGAATATTTTTTYCCCYTTTTTTGTGCTGCTTTAAAAGATCTTTTCTTTTAAAGCAATCTCCTTCTTCCCCAGCTCTGTCAGAAAGGTGCATGGAGTGATGTGACCCCTGAGCCTGTACAAAMACCCTTCTGGAAGGCACTTTYACCTGCATTTCTGTRKTTTTGGGCTGKTTTATTATCCCAGAGGCACAAAACYCAGTGTTTTTGGCAGCAGGGATTTATGGTTTTACATGGAAAGCAAAATCTTTGTGGTTCCTGAGWGCTCCCAGCCTTTGGTAGTTTAATTTTGGATGGGAGGAAAGATGGCTTCAGTGGAAATTGGGTTCTCCTTATAGTAAATAAGACAAATCAGGGTTGAGTTTCTTTTTTTGGATGAAGTCTGGATTATGGAACAGAAATTTTCAGATAAAGTCTGAACTATGGAATAGAAATTTTCAGATTCAATGGTGGATGGACTGGGGAGAGTGATGAGAAAGATACAATCACTGATATTTCTGAAAATGTTAAAGATTGGATAAAGAAACTCTAAATTCAGGCACCAGTGCCTGTTCTAAAACTAAAGTTAAAAAAGAAAAGGCAAAACCAAAAAAAAAAAAAAAAAAAAAAAAAAAAAAAAAAAAAAANCACCAGTGCCTGTTCTAAAACTAAAGTTAAAAAAAAAAAAAAAAAAAAAAAAAAAAAAAAAAAAAAAAAAAAAAAACCAAAAGAAAAAAGAAAAAAAGACCCAAAGAAAACAAACAAAACCCCAAAAAAAGAACCACCCCAAACTATGTATGGCATCACTTCAAATGGAATATATGTCAAGTCACCACTAAGTTCCAATAGGTTTTTTTAGTAGTTTTAGGGGAGTTGAAGGACAATTCCGGCTATCAGTGTGTGAAAAGTGGTTTTATCATTCCAATGTGCCTCCCAATACCTCTTGGATCCTCTGGAATCCATAATTCCCATCCCAGTGGCACTGGGAGAAACTCTGCAATGTGCATTATTGCTGCTGAAGTAAACACAATTAGCTGAATTCATTTCATAAATTTTTTAAATGCTCCAGTTTGGTATGATTGCATCCTCTAGGAAACAGATTTTGGTGCCATCAAGGTTTACAGGTGTTATTTAAGATCTGTGAAAGTTGAAATAAATCTGTAAATATTCATTGGGAAGCAAAGTGATTGCTCTCAGTGCTGTGATAAAGCATTGTGAGGGATGAAAAACTGGCCATGTCCTCTSATTCCTCACCAAAATTAATGTAAACTGCTCTGAGAGTCCTTTTTGTACTGAGAATTATTAATCTGTACTCAGATTTATTAATTCTGCTCCCAGATTGCAGMGTGTTAACGAGGAGATAACCAAGCTTCATCCAGGGCTTGTGTTGGTATAGGATAAATAAATGTCCCATTTTAAACTCTTAATCCAAGCAAACCTTCCTCTGAAAGTGCAGAATTATTTAGGAAAAGAATTTTCAACCTGCAAATAATGCCCGTGCTGACTTGCAGTGGTTTTTTTGGGAGCACAGGGAGCTTTAAATGCAGAAGGTCACAGAAAGCACAGATGACAGGGAATGATTTCCATGGGCAGCCTGGAGATCATTCCTTGCTGAGCAAACTTGTTTTATTTGGATTTCCATCCTTCTAAAATATTTTATTTCATGCCTTGCAAAATGRATTTCATTTATGATGCCTGATGCCAGTGACTCCTCTTGGTGTCTGATCCCCTTCTGTGCATCAGGAAAATTATTATSATTATGGCAGGAGGCAGAAATTGGACATTTTATGATCAAAAGGAGTCAGGGGAGGGGATTCTCTCCTTCTGCTCCTGTGAGACCCCTCTGGAATTTTGTGTCCAGCTCTGGAGCCAGGCTGGGAAAGCTGGRGGTGCTCTCCTGGAGAAAAAAAGGATCCAGGAGAGCTGCAGAGGGACACCAATCTAGCAGTGAAAAAGCTTAAAATTTACAGATTTTAGAAACTGCCATTTCTTTACACTCAGACTGACAGTGAGTTCAGGACCTATCTGCAGTGGCCCATCAGAGGAGCAGCATTTTCCAGACATTTCTGTCACATCCAGGCTCTTTTAAAATAAAACAAGGCCAGCTGAGTTCATATCAGCCACTGCTCCATGGTTTTTTTTTTCAGGTTTATTCATTTAAAGTTGATAAAGTGGAGCTGAAAGCTTGGTTTGTGTGATAGGGAGGTAGGAATAGACACAATTCTTTGTGTTTGCACAGAGAGATACTCAAAATGCAGCTGGAAATCACCCAAGGAACCTGATCCAAACCTGACATTGGATCTGACTTTAAAGTTGATCCTGATCTGTGAAGAGGATTGGAACAGGTGAACCCCAGCAGTTCCTCTGCCTGAAATTRTTCTGTGATCCAGTCTGTGATTCTGTGATAGCTGATAAGAAATACAGGAAAAAAAAAATCCTGTCAGTCAGTCAGAATTAATATTTCAGCACATCGATTTTGAGACAGCATAAATATTGGGTTTTTCCTTACAGAATTTCAGCGTGTGGTCAATGCCACAAAACCTCTAAAAATTGTATTTGGAAGTTCTGATTTTTTTTTTGTCTTAGGTTTCAAACAGTATTTTCTCTCTGGATGAAAAGTTTATATAGATTTTTGTCACAGCTGAGCTAACCTTTAATGGGAAAGGTTTTGTTCGTAGAATCTGAGATTTTTGCAGCTCAGGAGGGATCTCTGGGGATGCTCAAATCTGAGGAGCTGATGAGAGCAGGTTGCTCTGGATGTTTCCTGTGGGATTTTCCAACCACAGACACTCCACAAACTCTCTGAGCAGCCAGTTCAGTGTTTCAAAAAAAACCCAATTTTTCTTCTACTTTTTCTTGCATTTATTCTTCCCGGGGGTTGCGTTCCCACCGCAAATAAAATATTGTAGAGTAAATTATTCTGGGGCTGTGCAGAACAGGGCAACGGGAGGATGTTTTGTCTAATCTCACTTGGAACCATCCTCTTACATTCTTGGGGAAATAAAAAACCAGAGTTGTGCTTAAAATTGAGTTTTTATTGTCCATTGATGGAGGGTCAGGGTGTTGTGCCCTGTACCAAGGAGGGGATGATGCTCCAGTTTGAGTGGCTCTGATGACATCATTGTTGTGTCATAACTGCTTATGAAGAGTGAAGAAATTGAATTTAGGACCTCACACTTTTGGCTACAAAATCTGGGTTTTTTTTAATATATACTTCCTTAGTTTTTTCCAGAAAATGTATCTTTTTTTTTCCTTATAAAAAGTGATACTAATGAAAAAAAAAATGACACCCCTTTTAAAAATTTTACTTTGAAGCTCAGTGTTTTTACTTTTAGTTCTCTACTACCTCCCTCCCTTCTCCCTCCCTTCTTTGTTCAAATGGAGAGGATATAAGGAGAAATCAGATGCTGCATGTCTTAAGAGAAAGCATTCCCAAGGTACAGTAATTGGAGATTTCTTTTTTTTGTTTTTTTTTTAGTGTTCCTGCCTTAGGAAGCTTTAAATTCTAGTTTGCTTGTCTCAATTAAATGTTAGATTTACATGCTTCAGTTTTGGTTTTTTTTTAGCTGAATTCATGCCAATTCCTTCCAAAGGGAAGGAAAAAGCATCCTAAACCTTAGAAGAA